ATTTCAGAGTTGCAGTTAGTGTAGATGAGAAATCTTCAGTCTCCAGCTCTGTCACCAGGGTACAACCACTGCACTGCAGTTACTCAAACTCCTGGCTTTGGGAGCCTTCACAGAAACCCGGCAGGCTTCCAGCACCCCCACGGGGACCTACCACTCTCCTCCCTCAAATACTTTTCCACTGAACCCAAACCTGTCATAATCAAGGTGAAATATGATGCCATGAGCATGGGAGAGTAGTTATTTGGAGTATGTGATGCCAGTCTTTGCCTGTAATTATCTGACTGCAGGAATAAGTAGTAATCCTGTCATTACGAAAGACCATCAACGCATGCTCTTTGATCTGCCAAGCACTAAGCAGTTCCTATGTTTTAGAGTGTTTTCACCCCAGGATCCTCTGGACCAACTGCAATTACACTGCAAGAGGAGAAAAGGGGCTCCATTTTCATCTACAAGGCTTGGATCTACAGGATGAAGTCTGCCTACAAACACTACACCGTAAATCATAGGAGAGGTCTGGAGCTGTACCCTGGCTGGTTGTTAGCTGTTTCCCAGGCTCTAGCCTGGTTATTTCTATAAACCCTTCTCTCTTGCCTGTAAGGACCATCACAGTAAAATACCAAATGCCTTGGTCTGCTTGTCCTGACTCTTGCAGGACTTGCTCAGAATACGTAACACAAATAACATAATCTACAAACAAGCAGCTTTCTCAAGAAACAGCCAGCAGTTCTGCTGTTTTTATGGTGAAAGCAATGTTTATGGAACTTAGATGCTAAAACAGATTTTCTTTGTAGGAAATCAGTGCCCTGTTGTGACACCATTATTCTATTCACTAATGTTCCTTAGAAAAAACCCACAATTTATGTAAGTTCAAAACACTGTATAAGATCTTCAGGAAATGAACTTCATTGCAGAGGTTTCTCAGGGCAGTGACCCAATGCTGACAGAGCTTCTGCTACCACACAGAGTCACTGGGATGCTTTCCAGACCAGTGGAGATACATGGGAGCTGAGGACACGAGCTCCGAGGACACAAGGGCTGATACTGTGAAGGGAACTAGCTGCTTTTCCTTGCCAACTAGAATTTTTGGATGTCAGAAGAATGGCTGTATGTTCTGTGCGTTGGATCAGCAGTCTGCATTTTCATCCTCCTGATAAGCAATAGAGTTTCTCTGGGAAAACTGAGAGCGCCTAAAATACTAAAAACAATTGAAACATCCTTTCCTTAGTCCATTGTGAGCTGTAGGTCATACTGTGGCTGAACCATTCCCTTCCCTTCCTTCTTTGTATCAGACGCTGATGCAGGCAGTTAGTTGAAACTGGGTGACCTGAAGGCCAGAGGGAATGAACTGCTTGGCTGAACAAAATCTCTGTTGCTGCGTGCAAGAGAAGAGCGTTTAGACTCTGCCAGACAGCAGTAAGTGTCGCTAAACGTTCCCGTCAGAGGACAGGAAAATACGTGCAGCCATGTTGGAATGTCAGACTCCTCCTGATTTCTTGTTTAACACTCCCTTCAGACAGAGCTTTTCATTGGAGCTGTCCCCTGGCTTATTGAGAAGCACCTGGACTAGGACACATATTCCTGCATCTGGTGAAAACCGAACTACAAATAACATTTCTGACTCCTTGTAGGGGTCTTCAACAGCTGATGGCATGCTCAGTTGTACGTGCTGAGCTATTGTGAGCTGAGCATAGACATCTTTTTATAAGAAACAAGCATTGTTTTTCATTTCTCTTGTTGATTTGGCCACAGTGCTTATGAAATGAACATTACAAAATAAAGGCCCTTGAAGGATATTCCCCACTGACAGCTGTGGGAGGTGACCTATGGTGTAGAGGACAGATCACAAGGCAGAAGAATTTAACAAGAATGATTAAGCACTGGAAAAAAATAACTGTGCAAAGAGACAGACATTTTCTCGCTTGATGTCTTCAACTCATGATCAGAAGCTGTTTTGGAAGAAATGCTTTATTTGGATATGTGATCAGGCTCTGCTCAAGGCGATTTAGGTGAGATGATCCTTCTCATGACATGCCACAGGCAAAGCTATATTTTTGAACTAAAATAATAGGAAATAAAAATAACATCAACTTGGATTTACAGCAAACCCTGTGCAAACCACATGTCCTTGGAGGGCTGAGCTCTAAGTGCTATCTTTAGTTTCTTCCTAACAAATAAATTCAAAAATCCATCCAATCCTGTATGATTTACTTTCTCCAGACTTTAGCCATCACACTGTAGAGTTAGCTGATTTGGGACAGTGTGGAGTCCTGGCTGGACGAGAGGGGACATAGTTTGGTGCGCTGAGCAACCCAGGTTCTGATCCGGAGGTGAGCCTTGGGAGCGGCTGACACGGAACCCTGCTGGGAAGGCAGAGCGACGAGCTCGGGACACTGGAGCAGGGGGAACATCACCGTTTCCTGCCACACTGTCACTTCCTTCCTGCCACATTGCTGTTTCCTGCCACAGTACTGTTTTCACTTCGAGATGCAGCTCTGCACCAATCACAACGAGTTGCAGTAGTTTTGCCTATATATGGGTTGGGGTTTTAACCATTCAGATGCTGTAATAGTTTTGCTATATAAACCTTGTTTTGCTGACTAATAAAGCTGTACGATCATACTCATATTGGGGTCACATCGTTACAACGGTCCGTTACCCACACCTACAGGACAGGAAATCCTTCAATGAGGAGAAAGAATTTATATATGGCCATAAAACATTGAAAAGCAAACATTTCAAATGCCTCTGGCAATTATGATTACACAGCTTATATATGCACAGTGAGTTCATGGAGTCTTGCTTCCAAAACCGGAGCAGAAACTCTTAGCGACTACTCTGTGGTGGATCTGGAGCTCTTGGCATCTGTTGTCCATGCCACCGAGGACAGAGTCTGAGAGACAAAATAACCTTCCAGTAAGGTCCCTCTGGCTGTTGTTGCTCACCTGTAGGGGAGCTCAGTGCTGCTCTTTCTGAATCTGCTCCTAGTGCCAGCGCATCATTCATGCAGCAATCTCTTCCGCACCGGGGCTAACAGGGACCTCAGCCATGGCATGTCCTGGGGAGCATGAGAGTGGGTGAGACCTTGTATAGAACCTGCATAGTCTCATACCCTGGTGAGGGAAGTCTCTCAGAGTGGGGGGGGGGGCGGTGGGTATCTTTGTTTTCAAATGAAGAACTGAGACCCTACTGCAGGGGGATGGAGCATTACTCCAGCCAAGGGGCCTGGGGTTAGGTGGCCAGGGAATGAACTTTCTCTGTTGTGTGCCCTACAGCCCAGCTGGAGGAGGTGCCTATGTATTGTCAGGACAGGTATGACTTGTCACAGTAGGACACATTGCAAAAACTCATCAGCTGAATTTACAAATAAAAAGCCAATGGCATTAAAGAGCAGAGGGCACTTGTCACCCGCTGGGCGCTCATCAAGTGCGTGACTGGGGCCTGGTTTCCTGCCCCACCAACTGCTCACAGGGGTGAGCACCCCCCCCTTCCCCCCCCCTCCCCCCCGGCAAAGGCGCCGATACTCATTAGGGCCCGTGCTGACATGACACACAGCTGCCTTCATCCCGCAACCCGGGAGGGGGCTGTGCTGGGCAAAATGGGAGCTGCTGCCTTTAAACAAAGCATCTGTTTATTCTTGAAACAATTAGTGAGGGCAGTTAGACCTTGAACTCGTTACTGAGCCCAAAACAATTGCAATAAAAACAACTTCCAGATGGGCTCAAAAGGAGCTGTTTTTGTCTTTACTAAATTAGAATGGATTCCATGTCTTCAAGTTCCTCTGGCATTTATGGACAGGAAACATGAATTACACACAATAATTTACTACAAATACTACAACAGCCCATTTATCTTTGCTTATGTGCATTCTTGAGGTTTATGTGGTGTTTAACTCATGGGGAGAGTTAATAGCTTTTTTTTGTTGTTTTCTAACTCTTTGCTATTTTGGTTTGCAGAAACTGAGACACGAAGCTGTTGAGTTTCTGTTGCAGGGTTAAGCTTACCTGCAACCCCAGGCAAATGCTTGCATGCTCCCTAAAATCACCCCAGAAATGTGGAAAACGAAACCAGAGGTAACAGGAGGGTCCAGGAGCGGCCTGTCACTGTGCATGTGCAAAACTATACCCCTTCAGGAAATGTGCTTTTAAATCAAAGGCCAAATGAATCCACAGTGGCAAGTGTGCAATACACACTAGTTCTTCTTTTCCAGGAATCTTTTCTTGTGAGTAACTTTGTGGATTGTAATCGTTTACAGTACAACAGGTTACTATCACTAAGCCTGCAGATGCAGAATGGGTAAATACTGTCTGGAAAAGAGTGCTGCCTCTGGTACCATTGTGTCTCAGTTCTTCCTCTGAGTGACTTGAGCAAAGGTTACAGATGGGAGTTCTTCCAGTTAGTTCCTCGGGCAGCTACAAGAGCCCCCCGACAGCCTTTATTCAAAGCTCATCCAGAATGGACCGAAATCTGGGCATCAGACATGTTTTTATGGAAACTCTGAGTTCCTGATATCTAGGGTTTTGAAACAGATGCTGCTCATTAACATGGATTCAGCTGCTTCCAAAAGGAAGGAGAACCCAGAAGATGGCAGGCAGCAACAGTACGTCATTGCTGCTCAGACGTGTGCTTACATCTGCTTTGGGTCCCTGGACAGGGGGACGACAATAGGATAAGGCATGAGGAAATAAGCAAAGAAACTCCTGAGCAGTGTTTCTGTTCTGGCAGTCCCTCATACCTTCTTGCAGCTGAGACAAAGAGTTTGGGTTTGCTTTTTTCAGGTTTTTAGTCTGAGTCCATGATTGTACAGAAGGTGGCATGTCGGCATCACTATAAAGGTGTAGAATGTGAACTCAGCTATGTGGCTAGGCTGATGTGAAGTTGTGGAAGGACATAAGTCCCAAAACCCATAAAATGTGACAAGGATTGTAATAAAGATTAAAGCTGCCCCTGTGTGTACTGAGGTGCATGAAGTCAGCTTACTGAGCTTGGAAGGGAGTGAGATCATGGGCAGAAAGCAGGCTGAGACTGGGGGTGTCACTGAGATTTGTTTGGCCTCCCAGTGCGAGATGGTGAGCTTCCCGATGCATTTGCTTCTCTCCCTTACCCCCATGAATCTTAGAAAAGAAGGGCTTAAACAGAAGTTTGGACAAGTAGAGTTCTCCAGTTTTGGCTGCCAAACAAGGGTAAAGGAGAAAAATGAGAAACTGATAACTTTTTTTATTTCACGCAACATCTTGATTTGCACATAGCCATCCACAGGGAGTAAGTGGGATTGATCATTTGGATTCTCATCTCTGTGGAGTTATTGACACTGAGCTCCAGGATGATGAACTCCGTTCAGCAGAGAGGCTCCCAATGTCCACCTCCAGCCTTGGTTCAAACAAGGAAGGGGCAGGAATCACAGTGTTTGAATTCAGCTTCTGGGTGGCATTGCCCACAGGCAGAGAGGAGAGGTAAGAAACCACTAATTCCCCATCCAAAGGAGCAGGATATTTATTCATTTATTTCATTCCTTGTTCATTTATTCACTCTCAGTTCTTCAACTCTGTTGCCCCTTCTGCTGGTGCTGTGAGCTCCGTGGCATGCTGAAGAACCGAGCTGCAGCAGTGGGGCATTTGGGCCGAAACAGCCACATGCATAGGGGCAGCCCTTTGCAGAGCTCCCGGCCCTGATGAGGAACTGTCTTTCCAGGTAAGCTCAGCTCTTCTCACCTGCCAGAGCTCTGGCATTCACTTTAGCTCCCACCAAAAGCCAGTAACACCAAAAGCCAAGATTATTGACACTGCTGCAGTTTAAGGCCCAAGTTCCCCCCTTGGCTCCATTCCCAGGATCCCTCACACAGCTCTGACCTGGAGTGGTTTCTTCTTCCACTGCGAGCAGCTGGGTCAGAGACTGCGGTCAGCACCACCGCGACCGGGGTGCTCAGGAACCTGTCCCCTGGTCTCAGAGGTGCCCACCTGTCTCTTGTCCTCTCCCCACTCTCCCCCAATATGTTCCTTTCACCTTCCGTCCCCTCATCTTCCACCCGGGTTTTGTTCGTCATCCAAGGGCAGGCAGAGCAGAGCTGGTGGAGACGCAGAGACTGAGCTGGTGGAAGACACAAAGACTCCTTTCCCCGTCGGTGATTTAATTTCCCATTAACTGAGGGTTTAAAGGGAAATCTCAGTGCTCATTAAGGCTCTGATGACAGCTTAACCTTCCCCTGCAGTAACCCTACACCAGGCTCGTTCCGCTCTCTGAAACCAGGGTGGCTGCAGCGTCAGACCCGACTCCTGCGCACAGCAGACGGCTCTGGAGAGTGCAACCGGCACCAAATTAGAGGACGTCAGCGAACGCAGCCCTTTAGCAGACCCGCCCGTCCCAGCCTTTCACAACGCATTCTGTGACACAGTCGCGGGGGGAGCAGGGACACCTCGCTCTGCTCCAGAGCTGAACGCAAATGCTGTCACCAGTCCCCGGGGCGGCCCAGAGCCGGCACCCGACGCCCTGCGGCCGGTGGAACCGGGCCGTCTCCGTGCTCCTTCCAGCAACCTTGCGCTGCCTGGGCCATCGCACACCGCCCCGGAGAAGCGCGTCCTTGCTCCGGCCAAGAGGAGGCGGAGGTGTCAGCACGAACTGCTGAGACCCCCAAAGCCCTCTGTGCGTTACTGAAGGCGGGACCCTGCCGGCCAGCGAGGCACCCGGCACACCAGCCGCGGCGCTC